AAGAGTGCTTTCACATGGAGCGTAACCTGCGTATCGCCAATCACAGGACTAGTTCAACGGAATTATTGAAACGGTTCTATCAGCATGATCCTGTAATTGGTGATACGCAAGGAAACCTGTTATCATCCTTATCGGTGCCTTCGACTGCCTGAATTAGCCCTAATAATTTTTTACTCGGCTAAAAGAGATTGCTTCACGTCGATAGAAGTTCCGTAAAGCCTCCGCTACAATGATTCTCGGTTCTGTCTACAATGCGAGTCGCAGAGTCGTAGTCGTAAGAATAATCGACTGTGATTGGTCAATTCTTACTTTGCGACTGCTCAAGCGACCATCGATACAACTGTACGACCATTGTAGACAGAACCGAGAATCATTGTAGCGGAGGCTTTAAGCTCGGTGGACTTTCCGGAACGCCCGACTCTCTCGCGGCTTTAAATGCCCGCGAATTTCTCCCCTCCCGCCCCGCGGGTGAGATATCGCGCGCATGGCGTAAACTCGTCGCGGCGATCGGCGTCCGCGTCCCGCGCGACGCCGAGCCACCCGATCTTCCGTTACTGCGTGGCCCGCGGCCGCGTATCAGCTGTTCGATGACAGTTTGCCAACCGTAGCGGAGTCGCTGCGAAATAGTGAGAGCCGAGGTTTGTTGTTTTGGGATGTGACAGCACAATATGGCTATCTGGTGAGATTAACAACCGAGCATACGGACAAAGGAGCAGCGCCCAGTTCTTATGCTGACAGACGCCGCGTGAGCCCGCGGCGCGCCATCGTTCCGTCGTCCCGTTGTGCGTGGCTAGTTGGACGAGCACGGCGGACAGGATGCTGGAGCTCGAGGTGGTGCCCGAGAGGTCCCTCGGATGCGAGCAATGGGAATTTATTTTGGGCAAGTGACGAAACGCAAGCGCAAAACGCTCGTCGCGAGCGTGCGTTGTTGTGATTTGCGCGTCACGCAAACCGAGTCTCTCTTTGTCTCTCGTTTTCTCCCTCTTTCCCTCTCTCTCTCTCTCTCTCTCTCCTCTCTCTCTCTCGCTCTCGCTCGCGCTCTCGTCGAGTTTACGATCGAATCGTACGAGGCGAGAACAGGCGACGCGCTAATCGGGCGACTAGTCTGTCCACTTTGTCCCACGCAGCTGTACGACTCGTCCATGCGTCCTTACGTTACTCCACTGTCCCGATCGCTATACTGTTATCTCTAAATACCGACTGTCCTCCCGAATGTGACAGCTCGGGAGCAAAAGCAATTACGTGCGCTCCCTTTCCTCTTCTTTATCACAAAATGTACGTATATAGCGCGGAATGTAGCGATCTTTGTAAATAAATTAATGCAATTGCGACCTGTGCATAAAAATAGAGATCAAGGTCCGCGGGGTCAACATTGGCGGAAGTACAAGGCAATTTATTCCATTTGCGAATAGCAATTGTATGCAAATCAGCCGTTTTCGAAAGGATACCGCGTGTCCGTTTACAAAAACTTTAAACTCTCTACCCCCCCCCCCCCCTCTCGTAGCCTCGTGCGAGCAAACTCGCGGCGTTGAAAAACGCCCCGAGCATAAGTTTTCCTCCGAATATTAAGTTTGCTGTTTTGCAGGTATGCACTTTTCCCAGTCGGTCTCGATAATACAGTCCCAAGTCGGCGTTATAAGAGGAGTGCAAGTACTTTATAGCGACACTGTAAGTACACTTCGCACCCGTGTTGGCATGTGACTTTGATGCGTCGTCTGCAATGCGTGGGGTAAGCCTGGCGTAAGGTGTGAGGAAGCCACCTATACAGCACCAAAGCTTCCAGAAATATTTTAGAAAACATGGTTGCAATGTTGCAATAAAATACAGGCCGCGTTTTTGAAATATCTGTTACACGCCGACGGCGTGTTCCGATTCGCAGAGAGTAAGCGTAAGAGCTGAGGTGGAAGTAGGGAATAAGATTTGACCAGTTTCCTTATTCCTACTCTCACTCCTTACCCCGGGCTTACTCCTCGTCGTAAACGACGCAGAAGCGCGCACCAAGTTTGTTTAAGAATGCGCGAACAAACAATACCTTTACATGCATCGTACTTAAATGGCGCAATGAGATAATACATGAAGCATTGTGCACGTTCGCAGAACCCGTTAGACGTAGATCTAGTAATAAATTTACCTCACGACGGCATACGGCTTATATTCGATCCTGTTGTACAAAGGCTTAAGATTATTGAGATTTATAACATGAAGTTAGTGAAATTGAAATATTGCGGCTTGCCATTCAATTCGCCGGAAGTCTTACCGTCGATCGAGCAGATAGAGCATTCTTTCGGCGCGACTCACCCTGGTGTCTACGACAGCGAGAAGCAGGTACGCAAGCTATCCGTAAGACTTGGCCCTAAATGTGAAACCGCTAGAAAACGTGCCGTCGAACGTAATTATTTTTAAAAAAATTTACGGGACATGTGACAGCTGTTCTAATAAATTGCAGGTGTTTGTATTGAATTTCCGAGGACTCTCCTTTTACTTTCCAATCGACTCCAAATTCCAGCCTGGTTATGCCCACGGATTAGGCTCGTTACAGTTTCCTAACGGGACGTCTCCTCTGGTAGCGAAAACAGCGATTTACGTTGGAAATATGCCAGCCGGTGGTAGCAGCGAAGAACACGGTTCCAAGACGCCGCCGCCACCTTTACCACTTGTAATTACGCTTCCAGATTTTGATCATTGCCTGAAAAACAAGAAAATATTCGGCGTACAATGTATCTTTAATACATCTGTCAACAGGCCTGTTACCATAATAACTTGTACTTGGAAAAAGCTGATATCATTCGAGACAAAGCACGTACACGAGGGCTCAGATTACACCTTTTCACGGAAGGTAGTTCTGGAACGAGGGCTTTGCTGGAACCGAAAAAACGTTGTCTGACCAAAGAGGTTGTCCTTTGTCAATATATGTACTTTTTTTTACCAAGAAATATCGCAGCATCCAAATATGTAAAGTAGAAATTTCGAACGTGTAATCTGCGACCGCTGAAAAAATCTACGTTTTATAAATTTACTCTGTCATATACGAACGCCGATATGCTGAACGAATTTTGTTTTGACGTAGAGAAATAGAAAACAACTTGCGGTATCTTATCGCTGACGTTATAATCTAATTTTAGGTATTATTCGGTGATACTTGCGAGGATGTTTTAAGCGCGCTTGGTGCCCCATCTAGAGTATTTTACAAAGCCGAGGATAAGATGCGTATTCATAGTCCACACGCGCACAAACGGGACAAAACAAAACGATCAGACTTTTTCTATAATTATTTTACTTTAGGTTTGGTGAGTATGTCCTTCAATCTGGCGAGATGACATGAACTTTGACGAGTCGATGGCAAATTATTAACTTTGTAAATGCTGCTCAATCTGAAAGGGATAATCGATACAAGTACTTTGCCTTTCTCTCTTCAAACTGAATACGGAAAAAAATTAATATTTTATTAAACATATAAATGATTGCTAATTTAAATTGAACATTGAAGTGAATAAATCCGGCTGAGCAGATAATTGGCAGACAGATTAATCGGGAAAATGCTTCTGTATGATATCACGGGCCATGTCATCCTCGAATCTTGGTTTTTTTTTGTCTTTTGATCCACACTTGATATGCCATTTGTTGCAGGATATCTTGTTCAATGCTAAAACTCAATGTATAAAAAAGTTTGTACTTCACACGAATTATCCGGGACATTATAACTTTAACATGTATCATCGTTGTGAATTTTCTCTAACTCTGCCCCCTGAAAATAATTCCACGGAATCGGGAAAGCTGATCGACGTTTCCCCCTCTCCTGTTACGGTAGGATCTTCTTAGTTCTCCGTACTAGTGATACTTGATGCATTACGTTGCCGACTAATGAATCACAATTCTATCCCGTAGATCACTGCCTACACAAAATGGGATAGAGTGAGCGAGCAATTGAAAGCGAGCGCGCGACCTGTGGTTTTAAATCGCGCGTCTTCGACAAACACTACCAACCCGTTCGGCTGTACGTTTTGTTACGGCATACGAGACGCGATTGTCGAAGTTATGGCGAATCAGCATATCGCAAGTGTAACCCTATACAGAACTGCGTGACGTTGATAATTTGCGCGATGTAAGCATTACATTATACGTAGCGTGATTCATGACAAACGGTCCAGGATAAGAAATTACTTCAACTCGACTTTCGCGGTCTTAAGTTTGCCGGTTTTTGAAGCAACATAACAAATCAAGTGGGCTTTGAGAGTCAAACGCGGTTATTTATGCGCTAATTAACTTGTACAATACTTGCTGATTTTAATATGGAGAATCTTTAGTTAATTAATTCTTAAAAATAATTGTGCAATTATTTTAAAATGCAACAATGATAAGTGTTACGTAAAGTGTGAATATTAAGACGACTAAATGATGATCGTGTAAAATGTGTATGAAAATCAGGAACAAAAAATATATATATATGGAAAGTAAAAAAAAGATATCACTTCGAGATTTATCATGCGCGTTGGTCATGTGCGTAAAATTTATCATTTCTCTTCAAGCCTCGTCTCGCAGCTATGGATACTTGGATCAATTTCACATCGATCTTACATTAACAGAGACTTCGGTAATAAACTTATTGTTTCATGGCGTCTTAATTTCTCACATCAATCTTTACGCAACGTTAAAACTAGCTGGAAATCTACAGCTTTAACTATAACGCGACAAAATGCTATTCTATTGTTAAACATACTACCTTTTTTCTACATGTAGAGTTAAAAGGCATAATTTTACCGTATTACATAAGTTAACATATCTGTACAAATAATTGTATGTAAGTTCGATAATTCTAAGAAATACGCGAAGAAATTCACAATATTCGAATTTCATAGTAGACTCTGAAGATTTTCGACGAGACATTACAGTGATTCTTCGTAATATACGCGAGAACCACTGTGGTGGCTGCTAGTAGCGAGGATTAAATATACCTAAGCGTAAAATTACAATTCTTATCACAATTAAATAAAGGTAAAACTTTTATTTAATTTTTGCCACAAATGATAATTGATAATATTTTTCATTTCAACTCATATATATGTATATATCTTGATATTGACCATTCGAAGAATCTGTAGCTGGAAGAAAGGCGACATTACTTTAAGACATGTCAAATTCTGTCATATAAGTTTTTTGTGCGATGCTGAAAAAGTCGATATATATATATTATTGTATTATTAAAAGATATGTCAAGATACTAGTAATTTTTTTCGTCTAATAAAGTCAATTTTATTTGGGATTCCGCAGCATCTTCCAATTCTCATCTCTCATCATAATATTGATTGTTGTACAATTGTAAAAATTAATATGACAATGGAATTTATTAGACAACGAAAATTATTAGTATCCGAAAAAAAAAGTATTTTAACTCGACACTTAAGACAAAAACATAAAAAAAGGAAACGAATCGGGAAACGCCCGGAAAGCACAGTTTGTAGCAGTCGCGTCTGTGCTATGTGAATGTTACATTTGTGCTTGCTGGGTGCTATATAAATTTTTATAGGCGACATAATCTTTTTAATCAATTGTAAGGATTGTTATTAATAATCTTGGCATATGATATTATCCTTAGACGAGGTAAGAAAGTGAGTCGGCTCTCAATTTTCGTATACATGGCAAATTTTTTAACGTCGACGCGAAAAAGTAAAACGCGCGAGATTGGCGAGAAGGACCGAAATTACGTATACCCTGGTTAACGTGTTCTCTTTCATTATAAGATTGCAGATTCT